AGCCTCTGGGTTGGAAGTCCACCTTGCACAGAGTCCACCAACCCAGCTGAGCTTCTGCTTGGCTGTTCAGCCTTTAGCATAGTGGGACGATGGGGTGTCCAGGAGGGGAGCAAAGGGAGACTCACAAGTCATTCATTCATTTAACACATATTTGTTGAGTGCCTAGTATGAGCCAGGCACGACTGTAAGTGAAAAAAACAGACCCCTGCCCACCTCGAGCCCCCGTTATAATAACTGAGGATCATCTGGAAGGTGGGTGATGCTGATACAACAGATAGAAAGAGAGCAAGGGGAGAGGCAAGTGGCGGGGAGCCCAAGGTGGGCCTCGCTGCCAAGGTGACATCTGAGCCAAGGCTTGGACGAGCAGAGGGAGGAAGCCATGTGAGGGACAGCATTCCCAGCAGAGGGAGCAGCCAGTGCAAAGGCGCAGAGCAGGGAACGGACATGGTACGTTTGAGGCTCGGCAAAGAGGCCAGAGTGGTTGGAGTCTCTGGAGGTGCCGGGAAGGGGGTGAGGGCAGAGGCCAGCTCATGGCGCCACGGAGGCCACCATGAGGATTGGGCTTTCCTCACTGTGTGATGGAGGCGTCTAAAGCCCTGGGATCGAGCAGAGAAGGGTTGAGAACAGGCGGTCGGGGATCTGGGCAGTCCCACTAGAAAAGGACTGTGGGGATTCGGGCTGGAGGTAGGTTGGTCAGGGCTGGCATGGGGGGGCGAAAAGTCAAATTAACAAGGAGGAGAGGGGACCGGCGTGGGCTTCTCAAAGTCGGCCCCCTTGGTGAGAGGCTCAGGCCCATGCCTGGCCCCACTGCTTCCCAGCCGGTGTCCTTGAACTAGCTGGTGACTGCACCCCGCCTCTGCTCACAGGTCCCACCCCATGGGCCTGGTGTGAGGATGGAGAAGATGCCTGTAAAGCGCTTGTCTCAGCACACAGCAAACACTGCCTTTATGATCGCGATTCCCCTGAGAGACTTCATCATTGTCTTAACGGCCCAGTCCCTTTTTATCTTCCTGCTAATGGGATGATTTTCAGGAGTCACTGTCATGCAGAGAAAAGGCCCTCCCTGAGGGCATGGCCAGGATCTTCTCTGCAGGGCTGGTCCCAGGAACCAGCACTCGGTCCCTGGCTTTGGTTCTATTGACAGTCCTTCAGGGAGACTCCAGGAATTCCAGCTCCTATCAGCTGCAGGCGGAGCTGCTTTATGCTTGCTCGCTGGCTCGTCTATTTAAAATGTGACAAGTTGAAGGCCCATGAGCTCAGAATGTTTCTTTAATGCTAATAATTTGTAATTGTTTTGATTTGTAATTCGCATCCTATATGCTTCTTTTTTTAAAAAAATGGGTGGGGGCTGTCGGCACTGGGCCGCCTCCTGTGATGGGAACGAGGAAGGTAAGCCCAGTGTAGACCCTTCCCCAAGCCCTCCCCGCCCAGTACAGGAGGGGTCCTAGGCCCATCCTGGAAGACCCAGGGCCTACTGTAAGGAATCCAACTGCCACAAGAGGCCTAGAGTCTAGCGCACCTTTAGTAGACAATGTGACCCCAGTTCCCCCCTGCACCCCCAGCATGACTCCTTCCTGAGCCTCATAGCCACTCTACCAGGAGGCCCCTGAGGTGCCCCCACATGTCCAACTCGTGGACATGACCATCCCCAACCTGCCACCCTCCTGTGCAGGTGCACAGGCCAGACCCTGGGGTCATCCTCCTGCAGCTGCTCCCTCAGCTCTGAAATCTAATGATCTCTCCACCCGCCTAGCAGCAACCATTGTACAGGACAATCTCCGTGGGCCTGGGTGGCTGCAGTAGCCTCTCAGCCGGCCCCCTACTTCTACCTGCACACCCACAGGCTGTCTAGGGGCCTTTCAACATGCAAATTCGGTCCTGCCTCCCCTTACTAAAAATCTTTCGACAGCCTCCGAGTGCTCTTAGGGTCAAGATCATAGCCCTCAGCCAGGCCTTAGAGGCTGTTCTGGTCACTTACTGCTGCCTAATAAGCTACCCCAAGGTCAGTGACTTGAAACAAATAATCATTTTATCACATCTCACAATGTTGAGGGTCAGGAAATTGAACAGGGCCCGGCTGGGTGCCTCTTCTGCTTTTCATGGTGTGGAAGGACTCAGCCATCAGATGGGTTCATCTGGGCGTCCAGGGCAGGTGTTCTGACAGGCAAGACTGGGGTGGGAGGGAGCCAGAACCATCAACTCAAGTGGCTACACATGGACTCCCCAGCACAGCTGTCTCCAGAGGTTAGAGCCTTTACACAGCAACTCGGGGATCCCAGGGAGAGTGCTCCAAGAGGCCCAAGGCTTCTGATGGCCCTGCCTGGAAAGTTCCAGAACATCACTTCTGCCATTGGTCATGCAAACCTCCCAGGCCAGCCCAGATTCCAGGAGAGGGAATTGGACTCTGCTCACCGTGGGGAATGGCACAGAATTTGCAGCTGTCTTTAATCTACCGCAGAGGCTCCATCTGCTCTCCCCAATGCCCACACCTCCATCTCCCCTCACGTCAGGCCCCGTGCTCAGCCCTGCTCCTGTCATGCTGTTGTTCTTTCAGAGCCCAAAGGTGCCATCTACTCAGCCACAGGGCCTTTGCACATGCTGCCCTCCGTGCCTGTCATGATCTTCTCCCACCCCAAGCTCTTTGTCCGGTTGCGTTAGTTTCCCAGGGCAGCTGTAACAAATGACCACAGATCAGGTAGCTTTAAACAACAGACATGTAACCTCTCCCAGTTCTGGAGGCCCGAAGTCTGAAATCAAAGTGCTCGCTGCGGCTCTAGGGGAGGGTCCATCCTGCCTCCACCAGCTTCAGGTGGCTGCCGGCGTCCTTGGCAGTCCTTGGCTTATGGCTACTTTACTGCAATTTCTGCCTCAATGGTCACATTTCTTTCTCCTCTCTGGGTTCCTGTGTCTCTGTGTCCAAATTTCCCTCTTCTTGTAAGGACTCCAGTCATTGGACTTAGCCCCACCCCACCCCAATCGAGTATGACCTCCTCTTAACTCCATTGCATTTGCAAAGACCCTATTTTCAAACAAGGTTCCATTCACATGTTCAGGGTGGACATGAATCTGGGGGGACACTAATCAACCCAGTACACCAGTTGACTCAGATTTGTTATTAAAATCACAGTCGAGGTCATTTGCTGTAAGGACAGAAAGAGTTGACTCCTTTGAGGTGTTTGGAAGATATAGGGCTTATCCAGGCCAGCTAGTCCACTCACTCCCACTTAGCCTTTCCCAGCTCAGCTGCGTGTCCCATCACCTGCTCTCTGGCATCTTAGGTCAGGCTCCCCAGAAACAAGACCTAGATGGGGAATCCAGAGCATGGGGTTTATCAAGGGAGGAGCTGTCAGGAGAAACTCATAAGGGAGGCAGGGAAGCAGGCCCGGCCAGGGAGGAGCACTGCCAAGGTGAGATGCCCCAAAGTGTGGCCAGCCTGACCCGTCGCTCCCTGGGTGCTCTGGCTTGTGAGGGCCCCACAGAGCTGTCCTGCCTGGGAGCAAGGGGGCCGAGCGTTTGTACCCCCATGTCAGACACTGGCTGCAGGCAGCCACGGGGGAGACGGACTCCCCAGACTCTTCCAGGCAAACGGGCCCCATTCAGGGAAAGGCAAGGGGCAGGGGGACTCTGAGCCATCGGCGGCTGGGAGATGAAGGCACTGTCCTGAGGAGGGGACCACGCCTGGTGGTTCGTCCTAGCCCTCACGGGGTGACGAGCTGGTTCATGAATTGTGCAGCTCTCGGTTCAGTGCCTGCCCTCCTCTCCCCAAGACTGGCATCTCTGAGCAGGGGCTGGGCCCGGCTTGCTCACATAGCGGTGCTCTGTGCCTTTGCGATCAGACATGCGTGTCTGCTGTGCGAGCTCTCCACGGAGCACCCGGCTGATGGCAGGCCATTTTGGGGCTGGAGCCAGCTTCCCACCCAGCGGCTCTCTGTTTAAAGTATCAGCAGCTCACTTATTTCCAATTCCTTCTCTTCTCCTCTGTCTCTCACGTTGAAAAGTGAACAGGGTTTTCCTGCTGGGGGTGTCTTAGTCTGTTCAGGCTGCTGTAGCAGGATGCCTTAGGCTGGGCGGCTGACGAACAACAGAAACTTATTTCTTACAGTCCCGGAGGCTGGAAGGCCCTGATCAGTGTGGCAGCACGGTCCGTGTCTGGTGAGGACCATTTCCTGGTTCACAGATGGCAACTCCTGTCCGTGTCCTCACATGGCAGGAGGGGGCAAGGGAGCTCTCTGAGGTCCCTTTTATAAGGGCACTAATCCCGTTCATGAGGGTGCCACCCTCATGACTTAATCCCCTCCCAAAGGCCTCACCTCCCAACACCATCACCTTGGGATAAGGTTTTAACACAAACTTTCTGAGGACACAAACATTCAGACCACAGCAGATGGGGACAGGGCTCGAGTTTGTCCCTGGAGGAGGCCGGGATGGAGCATCTCTGCTTATTCCTGGTGTCACCTGCCGTGTGGCAGAGACCCAGACATACCGGGGACTCCTTTGTGGGAGTCACGTCCAAAGTCATGCAACAAACTTCCCTTCTTCAGCCAACTTTTACTGCATCCCCCTCAGCCTCTCGTGGGAAGCCTGCGGCATGTGCATCGGGGCAGGTGGGCTTTGACTGTAGCCCCACGCTTCGGGGGCTCTCACACTGGGACAACCTTCCACATTCTGGTGCCTGGGACTGGTTGTGCTGGCAGCACTGTCCCTGTGAGATGCCCTAACCTGGACTTGGGATTTGCTTCAGCTTCAGTCTCTATTCCTTCCCTTGGCAGGGGGAATCTGTGACCTCTTCCCTGCCCCCCATGCTCACACACAGCCATGCACACACACGCGTGAGGTTGATCAGATGACCTGAGGAACTTTAGGACTTGTTCCCATACATCATCTGGGGACCCAGTGACTTGTTGAACCCTGGTCACCACTCACGGATGGTCCCTCTGGACCCTGAGCCCTGGTGCCCACACCTTTGCCTCTGGACTGACACGAGGCAGTTGGCATCTCTGGAGCTTCCCTGTGGTTGCTCCTGAAATGTCCCTCTGTGTTGTCAGCCCCTGGACCCTCGAGCTCAGGCCCAACCTCTAGGGCAGCAGCAAGGCAGGTAGCAAACCAGGTGGGGAAAGCCAGGGTCTGGGGGACAGGCTGGACTCCTGGTGATGCCCTGCACTTGCTGTAGGTTTTGAGCAAAGAGACTGAACCCCCCTGAGTCCTGTTTCTTCAACTGTGATACTTAATAACCTGTGATAATTGATCCTTCTCCAGGGTTCTTAGGAGGGAGTGAGGCTGAGCTCCTGAAACCTCGGGTGTCTCCAGGGCTGCCACTGTTTTAACATGGGCTCTGGGTTCCACCCTCATGACTTCAGCCACATCTACATACCGTCTGTACTTCTATTTACCTGATATTTTTGTTTCAATTTACCCCTCTGTTAATTAAATAATTGTTTTAAAACTTTACAGCACCAGCTTAAATAGAAAAACATTGTTTCTTGCCATACACAGAAGCTGACCCATGAAAATAAATGCAAAATGAGGCTCAGAACCTCTTGCAAGAGGCAGGTGCCCGCTGAAAGCTCTGAGCCTGGGGCTCGCCCTCTTTTTTAAAGGGAGATTTGCAAGTGTTGGAGAGGTGTTAAGGACTTCCTATCACCAAACAGAGACTTTCTCCTGGTAATGAGAATGGCTAAAAGGGAATAGCTTTCTCACTCTGAGAGTCATTGTGACAGTGCTTAGACCATGTCCCCCCAGTGTCACCTTTCCTGCTGCTGCCAGTGTGGGGCTCTGCACTGGGAGCTCACCACAGCTCCAGGGCCGGTGAGTGCTCAGAGAGGGTCAGCTCCAATTTTAGTGATGTGTATGGATGTGCACTGTGGGGTCAGCCACAGGGAGGCAGCCAACTCTATCTTCCTGGTCAGGGTAGTGGCAGGTCCCTGGAGGAGCTACCGAGGCACTGACCCAGAAGGGAAACTGCACCTGGCAGGTGACCTCATACCTCCGATGAGCTCCCTCCCACTATAGCTGCTCACAGCACCAAAACAGCCAGAGACCCTGGCCAGCCCAGCCAAGCCCCAGAGCATCCTCTTCAGGAGGATGTGCCTGCATGTGTCTCTGTGCCAATGTTAGACTCCTGGATAAAATGACAAATGAAGCTCCGTGGCGGTGACTTCATGATCCCAATCTCATGGAGGGGTGGGCTTTTGTCCCCTCTTCTTCAGCCTGAGTGGGCTTCTGACTGCTCCCACCAATAGCCTTGGCAGAAGTGCCACTATGTGACTTCTGAGAGTGGGTCACAAAAGGAGGTAATTGGAACCATGAGCCACCGTTTCAACCACCGAGGCCGCCATCCTGGGAGGAAGCCCACGCCTCACAGCCATGCCACATGCAGGTGCTCCAGCAACAGTCCTAGCTGGGTCTGGACTTCAAATTGTCCCAACCCAGACTCCAGACGTGTAAAGAAGCCTACAGGAGGTTGCAGCTCCCAGCCATTTGAGTCTTCCTAGCGGAGGCTCAGATGTCCTAGCTGAGACAAGCCATTTGGTTGGGCCCCATCCAAGTTCCTTACAACAGGGTCAGTAGCCCAATAAAATGGTGGTTGTTTTTGCAGTACATCGTGTGATGGCACAGGCTGTGAGAAGAGGCAGGGATGGTGGCAGCAATGCACTCCAGCTCTTGCCGCAGCCACTCCTTCCCTGCGGCCACGGGACATCCAGGGCAGGTGGGCCTCTGGGCATCTTGCTTTCCTAGGCTGGGAGGGGAGCCAAGACCCACGGTGGAGGAGAGAATCCAGGATTTCCCTGTGTTCTGAGGGGACTCCTACATCTAGGGCCAGTGCAGACCCTCACTGGGTGTCCCTGGATGGGACCCGAGGAGCAGGAGGGAGACCTCACAGCAGGATGAATGGTTCCCAGCACCCAGAGTTGGGGCCCAAGTGCAGACTGACTCTTTCCCAGGTCAGCCCCTTCCTTCCGGCTTTCCTGCTCCTCCTGGCCTTGGGGCAGATACTGCAGGTCCCTCCACTGCCCCTCCTGTCCCCCGCTGTTCAGCCTGGCCAGACAGGGGCCAAGGGAAGACCAAGTCATGGCTGGGCACAGAAAACAGGAACTTACTCAAGGGGCCCAGCTGCCCTGTGGAGGAAGACCCAGCCCAGTGTGAGACGGGGACGCAGCTGGGAACTTTGGCCAGTAAATACAAGGAAGGGCTGGGATTAGAACACAAGGAGCAATGAACTTTTCACATACTTTTAAAACTTTTACAGTAAGTTTTAATGTTTACTAGATGCTGTTTGTTTGTTTTTTAAGGATGCCATCTGGATCTAGGGTCTGCAGGACCATCCAGCAGAGCATCTTCCCACCCGTGGCAGGCTCCTCTGTGTCCTGTGGCCTCACCCCAGCCTCAGGCCCCTCCCTTTGGTCCTGCCCCAGGGCCTTTGCATGCTGCCCCCCTGGACCTCGGGTGTCCTCCTCATCCAGCTCTCAGCTCTGGCTCAGAGATGCCTTTGAGGGTCACAAAGGATTAAGCAGGCCCTCCCTTGTCACTCTCCCCTCATGGCACTTGTGACTGCTGGAATGACCATGTTCATTTGTTTTTGCACATACTGACCATCGGCTCCCTTGGTGGTGAGCTCCGTGTGTGACTTCCTTGGTCACTGCTTCCTTGGTCCTA